GGTCAGGTCAGCAGCCTTGCGCCGCTGACCATTATTGCTTTTGGTCTCAGCCTAACCTACCCACAGACCTGTTCTGGGGATTAAATGGGGGGGGAGAGAACCACATATGCTACCTTGAGTTTCTTGGAGAAAAAGGTATGATAGAAATGCAAGAACCAAAACCAAACCAAACAATTGCACAAGGTACTTTTCATTAAACCTTGTAAAGAATGGTGGAAAATGCCATTTCAGGTGTCTAGCCTCTGGCGTATTCCTCAATAAAACGGCGCTACGAAACCTAAGCCGTCTCCCACACTTACAGATGTAGAACCCGCCATGATATCTACAAACCTTTTGATGTTGAGAGTGGAACACTTGATTGGTGTTATAATGGTGGAACAATGCATTCACTGAACATTTGTCCTGAACGTTTATTTGCTGGGGCAGTAAGACTTAAAACCCAGAAACACCAACCGCTCAATCTTCTCACTCCTTGCTTGCCGGATTTGGGGAAGTTTCTGCGAGAGTTTCTCATACCCAGGGAAATGGTTTGCGGGCAGATGAAAAAAAAGGAAAGCCATTCCAGGTTCAAGTAATACATTTGTTACCTGCCAAACTACGGTTCATTGCATTCCCATTTGTGTCTCCGCTCACAGTACTAGGAAGAGCCAAAATTATTTCTCCAGGAAACAAATGAGGTACAAAGAAAACTTTTGTCAACAGACTGAAACACTGTGTATTTATAAGCCAAGCAGCCGGAACTGCTTTAATATGCCACCCCAGTGTTTTACAGAATTTAGAGACAGTTCTTCTTCTTCCACTTTTCTGCCAATTATTTCATTATTATTATTAATTAAATTTATATACCGCCTGTCAGGGGTTCAGGAGCAGAGGCGCAGGGGAGAGAGGAAATGGAGAGTGAAGGGGAAGAATCTGAGGGCAGCGGAGGGCAGAATGACAGTGACCCGAGAGATTCCATGAGCCTCTCCAGTGAATCAGAAGATTCCCAGAAGGGGGCGCCGATGGCCAGGGCAAGGGGGGTCCCAGGGGGGACACACCAGAAGCAGGGGGCCAGCGGAGACTCCCAAAGCAGTAGCTGGAAATCAGGGCCAGCTTCCCCACCAGAGCGTAGTGAGAGGGAAGAGCCCCATAGGTCAGAGTCAGCGTCTCCTCCGGCAAGCAGGGAGGCGGAGTCAAGCCCAGCTGGCATCCCTGAAGAGGGAAGCAGCGACAGGAGCAGTATAACGGTCAGAAGGAAGGTGGCAGGCTGGGCGCGCGCGCCAAGTTCAAATGTACAGGCGCGCGGGACAGCAGAAAGCGCGGATTGGGAACCAGGTCCTAAAGCTCGCCGGAGGGAGGGGGAAGACTCAGGGGATTCAGCCTCAGAAGAGTCTAGGAAGGGCAAGACCTCAGCGGACAAGCGGACCCAGAGGAAGAGGGAGCAGAGGAAGAGGTGGCGCAAAGCTAGGGTCTTAAACTGGTGTCTGGGGGGAGGAGACTCAGACGGAGCTTCGACGGTCTAGGGTTTCAGACGTAGGGCTGCGCGCCACGGCTGTCAAACTAATAATGAACTTCAATAAAGACTTCTGTATATAAAGAGGAACTGGCGTTGGTCCTTTGTGAGCTGGGACCAGGGGCAGCCCTGACACCGCCCTATAGCCACAGCTCTCAGGGCAGTCCACAGGATAAAAAGACAAAATACATCATCAATATAAAAACAAGAACAACCCAGTATCCCCGGCCCGCGCAAATAATCAGAGAGGGGAAATAAAATTTAAAACACACATACACAATATTTGTAACAAAACATATAAAAACAAGCACCCATCAGGTATCATCAAGGAATAGATTAAAAGATCAATTTAGCTGTCTTTTCAAATCAAAACATTTCAGCCACTGGATTCCCCCCCCCCAATTGCAACCATTCATAGAAGCTCTTTGATCCAGTGGACACTTCCAGGAAGGGGCGTTGGGAGGCAACTTTCTATTACTCCCCCTTCCTTCAGCAGCCCTTGCCCCCATCCCCAAATCTGATCCAAGGGTTGAATTTCTCTAATTCAGTCACTGACACCTCACAACCAAATAGAAGGGAAAGAAATCACAGAAAAGTGTCAAATGAAGATGAAGTAGCCTTGGCTTGTCTGCATCTTCCAACAAGAGGTTGAGCTCCTTCATAAAGGTAAAGGTAAAGGTACCCCTGCCCGTACGGGCCAGTCTTGCCAGACTCTAGGGTTGTGCGCCCATCTCACTCAAGAGGCCGGGGGCCAGCGCTGTCCGGAGACACTTCCGGGTCACGTGGCCAGTGTGACAAAGCTGCATCTGGCGAGCCAGCGCAGCACACGGAACACCGTTTACCTTCCTGCTGGTAAGCAGCCCCTATTTATCTACTTGCACCCGAGGGTGCTTTCGAACTGCTAGGTTGGCAGGCGCTGGGACCGAACGATGGGAGCGCACCCCGCCGCGGGGATTTGAACTGCCGACCATGCGATCGGCAAGTCCTAGGCGCTGAGGTTTTACCCACAGCACCACCCGCATCCCCTGAGCTCCTCCATATCACCTCCCAAATTCTACCATTGAACTCTGTGCTACTAAAATGATGACAGCAGACCTTACCTAGTGGTCAAGGACTGATCTGCAATACGTAGAACATGTTGGCTTTCTACAACAGGGTAGGGAATCTGTGGATGTTATGAATTCAAACTCCCATCAGCCTCAGCCAACATGGCCAATGGTTAGAAACAATGGGATTTTCCCCACCCCAACCCAGCCACATCTGAAGGGCCACTGGTTCCCCAGCCCTGTTATACAACTTCAGCTGCTATGGCTTTCTGCGAAGAATGCGGGGAATAGTAATTTGGGGGTGTGGCTGCTTGTTTATTTAATCATTTATTTATTTAACATTTCTATACCACCAACACTGAAGAACCAAATATCATGGCAGCCAGGAAACAGCACAAAATTAACAATAACACTATATCAATAAAGGAAGTAAAAGTGCATTGCAGCTTAGTAGACCAGCACCCCTCAGAGAAGGTCTAGATGAAGAGATGTGTTTAAGCAGCCACCTAAAAGCCATGGTGTTAGTGGACATAAGACAACCCTCAGAAGCACACAGCACTAGTAAAATTGCCCTTTTGGAGGATCAAATTGACTGGGCAGGGGGTATACAATGTAAGATTTCAAGGTTCTTGAAAACTCTATTGGTAAAGGACCCCTAGACAATTAAGTCCAGTCAAAGGCAACTATGGGGTTGTGACGCTCATCTCGCTTTCAGGCTGAGGGAGCCAGCGTTTGTCCACAGACAGCTTTCCAGGTCATATGGCCAGCGGGACTAAACCGCTTCTGGCGCAAAGGGACACCGTGACGGAAACCAGATCACATGGAAATGCCATTTACCTTCCCACCACAGCGGTACCTATTTATCTACTTGCGTTGGTGTGCTTTTGAACTGCTAGGTCGGCAGGAGCTGAGACAGAGCAATGGGAGCTCACCCCGTCACAGGGATTCAAACTGCTGATCTTCGGATTGGCAAGCCCAAGAGGCTCAGTGCTTTAGACAACAGCGCCACCCGCATCCCCTCAGATATTACAATCTAGCCCTCCTCACAGAATCATCCTTCCCAGGGTTCGCAGCCAAGAAAGAATTACTATTGTCTGTTGCTGTGTAATGTGGATGTGCTGGAAAGTATCTGACACACATTTCACCTGAGCAGTGGCCCTACTGGATAGACTTTTTTCTCAGCTTCCCACCCCACTCCCAATCTGTAATACATAATGATACAGTCATTTAGGGATTGGCGTGTTTGAAGTATGGACATCCCTAGGTTAAGGATTTATGTGGTAATTAGGAGCCTATCAGATTTGACTACACTGATAGCAAACAAACATATAACAGAGAGAAATGTCGCTGAATAATTTTACAGGCATTGCTCCAAAATTACCAGAAGATAATAGTAGTAGTAGTAATCGTAGTAGTAGTAGTAGTAATAATAATAATAATAATAATAATAATAATAATAATAATAGTTGTACCCCTGCCCATCTTACTGGGTTGCCCCAGCCACTCTGGGCAGCTTCCAACAAAAACATTATTCAAACAGTTTGGTTAAGCCCTAGATCTATGTGGCAGCAAGTTAATGGCCCAGCTAATCAGAAAGGATACACATTACATTATCAGAAGCAATTATTACAGACTATAGAGACCAAAGTGGAACATTTGCAGTAATACAGTGATTTTAAAAAATGTTTTTAATAAAAGGAGCAAATCAAATAAAATCTATCTCAAAACTTCCAATTAAATATTTGAATAGGCTGATCCATCTATTGTAAATGCTTTCTATGAAGATACTTAAGGATGTGTTGTATTAAACGGGTGCTGAAGGCCCGGAGAAGAAGATCTGGCTGATTGATTTATGAATTGCAGCCTTCTGCTCCCTATCACTCCTGGACCTGGTCCTGCTCACCTCTCCTCTTGGACCTTTCTGACCATAGGAACATAGGAAAGTGTCATACAAAGTCTCAGGCAGGGTTTTCTGCCAGTCCTACATGGAGATGCTGGGAATTGAACCATAGCTGTCAACATTTCCCTTTTTATAAGGGAAATTCCTTTATTCTCAATAGGATTCCTCGCAAGAAAAGGGAAAAGTTGACAGCTATGGATTGAACCTGGGACCTATTGCATGCAAAGAGATGCTCTACCACCAAGCTAAGGCTGTTCCCCTTGTTTTCATTCCTGTAGACCACTCCTTGCTCAGCTCTTCTGTCTTGAGCTCCCACTTCAACTTCCATGGACCTGCATCCAGTTACTTAGGTGGCGATCAGCTCCTTTTCCTAGGCCTCAGAAGCCTGTTTCTCTTCTGGGTCCTTTTGCCTTCTCCCTCTCCAGCACCTGAACAGCTAATTCAACGGCAGCCAATAAAATCTCTGAATTTTCCGATATTTAACTGCCAGTGGCTTTGCAGCCGCCACTACTCCTACAAATTATCTGAGTGCATTATAATATAGATAGCAAATCAGAAGAGGTAAAGTGGTATATTTTATTAGATCAGTCTCTGTAGGTTAAGGAATACTGAAGACAACGAGTTCACAGAACTCTCCACCATGAAGAATAGGAAAACCATACAATTCTCTGCCTATATACAGCTAGAGAATTTCGAACATCAATATTTTTTCAGTCACTTCAGACAGATAATGGACTAGTCACAAAACACTAGCACATCAGACCATTTTATTACAAAACATTAAACCAAGAAGTAGCTGTTGGATGACTCTAGAAGCAAAGAGATGTACTTGAACTATTTTCCTGCACATTTTAACCGTTTTCTTTTTCCCAGCCGAATATTCCACAGATGTTTGCCAGATTGTCTTAGAACACCATTTAGGGCATCTCAAGTCCACCTGTCTTCCACAGCAGACATAAAATGTGAAGGGAAAGCATACATCTCAAAACCCACAGTAGACATTTGCCACTGGGCCATGACCAGTCATAGCTTTCTCAAACACATTCACAGCCTGTCCCTGAGTTTAGGGCTGGGTGTTTTTTTACAGCAAACAAAATGCTTGCTCAGGCAACGACATGAAGTGCAATGCCAGTAAGTGATTCTCGTTGACAAGGTCGCTTGTGGGACAAGGTGTGTGGCTTCATAGAATACGCTGGAGGCTATCTGATTTTTTAAATTTATTTACACGATTGCCAGTCGGCCATTTTGTGTCCCACATTTAGGTACATCACAAATAGTTACAACTGTCATACTTAGACTCTGTATGACGGGATTTGTTTTCAGGATATAGGCAGCTGTGGTGGAGGCAGTGTACCTGTATGAGACACACCTTCGTTCTGTCATCAGATCCAGTTCTAGTCAAGCCACAGGCAAAACAAGGTGAGGAAAAATGGAACGAGGCAAAGGAAAAGCCAGGAGGCTCAAAAGATGTGATACCAAAAAGGCACCAATGGGTCCTGTAGCCAGAATTAGAAACAGAGTTCCCAAAATGCTCAGATTAATGAGCAAACTGAAACTGGGAGCCTTTGTAGGATCGAAGAGTATCACGTTCTGTAACCCATAGTTGCTGAGAAGCTGACATGATTAATCTCTCCAGAGCCAAGTGGTGTTGTGCAGGCCGAACCACAATTGACAACGGCATGGCTCCGAGTGACTGACAGGAAATCCGTCATGAGAATACACTGTTTTCCTGAAAGGATCTGTTCTAAAAAGCTTTACAAAAAGTTTTAAAACCTAATAAATCTGGTGGTTGGTGGTTGCCATACAATGGTGAACCCAGGGAAACTAGTCAAACACAACACAAGCGTGGGGCAAGCTGTGGCGACGTCCTGTGGTAATTTCTGCCCCTCCTCTTCTAGAACATCCTTACATCCAAATAATTGTTAAAGGAGCTCTTTGCATTTATCTTTAACTTTCTGGCCCATATCTCAGCTCAGACTGGAACCCATGAGATGACTTTAAAGAAATATCATCTCTGTAGTTTTCTGCATTTCAATGTGGATTGCTCCTTGACAGGGCGACCTAAGACATTTTGCGTTCACAGATGAAAAGGTGAACCACTCTCCCATCGCCAAGTTAAGGTGCACAACGCCCAAAGCTGGCCAAGTCATGTTGACATCTGAGGAAGACAATATCTCTCATCTATGTATGAGGGGTTTTCTAGTAACTTCTAGTGATTTCCAACACTCCACTATAATATGACATACAACTTTTCCTATGAATAGCATTTCATCATCTGTCTTGTATGTCCAAATCTCATGGTTCTTATGTTTCCAAATGTATTTGCCACCTCTGCATGGTCCTGCTCTGTGGCATGACTGGAACTGATGACACCACTTGGGAGAAACTAACAATGGGGTTATATATCACATTAGTGCTGCCCTGACCTCTGGGAGGGACAATGCTAATGGGAAGCAAGATTGTGACATCTCGCCCTATGTGATCTCATCGATTCCAGTGTTCCTGAAGATGTGGCGAATAGCATAAAGAATTCCTTGAGCTGACGCGATTCCACATTTCGGTTGCCCATGAAGACGAGTGAGCTTACACAAAAAGTACCGGGCCTGAAGAAAAACCTTGTTTTAAGTGCACCTTTTGAGGCATTATTCTGCTGCTTTCTGCTTCCTCATGTGACATGACCAAAGAGAGGCAGCAACAAGCACAGATCTTGGATTTCTGGTGCACTTCAGTTTATACCAAAGACAGCTGGGAGGAGGGGTCTTTTCTGGGATGTTGTGTTGTGCGGCAGGAGTCTCTCAAAAGTGATGACAAATAGACTTCTTCTTTTTTAAGGAAAACATGTAACAAATGTGACATATAAACCACTTTGATCTCCCCTCCCCCCTAAAATCAAGTCGTATATAAATTTTATGAAATAAATAAATATAGGGCAGAAAGGACCCAGAAGTATCATGATTTGATGTAACATGCTGGTTGCATGCTGCTCTCATCTCTTTAGGCAAATGAGTATCTTGTTCATGGTCCAACATATTTCCATATGAAACAATATTACACAGAGAAACAGAGAGCTAAAAACATGAGAGGGATGGTCAATTAGCAAGGCCAAACTACATGTGGGAGATCCAAGAATGAATTTTCCAACCTCTTATTTAAAACCTCTGAGCATTTCAACAATGGAATTCTCTCTCACACATGCCAAAGCTCTGAATAGCCCTGATGGAGTTGAAGGATATCTGCAATACAGATACAGATCTTTCCTTTCCCCATCTAATGGCAGCCCAATTCCAATGATTCCAATCTCCAGGGCTGCTTTTAAAGGTTAAATACAAATACATCAGGGAATTCGATCATGAATTACCCCCACAGAATCACATGTAGTTTGGTCTTCCGTTTCATTTTTCAGCCCTATCCAAAAGTTGGTCTGAGCAGGATAAACAGGTTTGAGCTGACTTCATCACATTAAAGTGATTTATTTGTCAATGGGCTTAAATCCAATTACTCTGTGAACATAAGCTGTTGACTAAATCTTTCTTCAGAGTAGTCTCGGTTTCCTAAGGCTTTGTCAGCTTTGGTGTAAGAGCTGCAACAAAATTATCCACTTCAAACAATTATTGTTCTCTCTAAACAAATCATAAGGAAATTAGTTTTTTCTAGTTTTTAAACCATGGATCTTTGTAAAAATTAGTGCAAAAATGATGGAAAACATAAAAAAAACACCAACTTTCCAAACGGGTTTTTTTCAACCAGCTTTGTAAATGGTCAAGATAGAAAAGTTCTAGTCAACATTTTCTCAATTTCATTTCCGCATCTTGAAATGTCAACATACAAACAAAATGAAATGATACGCTGGGCTTTAACCTTTTAATCTTATTTACTGCGGTGTGTTTCAGAGTGTCAGTTATCCCTTTTTTCAAGATTGTCAAATATCTGGCATTTATAGGTAAAGGTAACCAATCCAGTAGACAAGGTTGAACAAAGCGAAGGCCGTGGGAAAGAAGATCCGGGAATAGGAGTCAATTTTGGCCACGCGGATGTGTATTCGTCCTTCTCTCCACGATCCCGTGCGGCAGTCGTCAAAGCAACAAAAGAAGCTGGTGCAGTCTTTCCCTTCAAGGCACTCATATCCATAATTGCCATGATGTTCTTGAAGGTGACGGAGATTGTTGATTGGAATTAACGTTGATCCAGGGCGGACAGGAAGTGCAGGAGTCTAAAGAAAATGATAACAGGCTAAGGCTCAGCTTTTACGAACTAGTTAAAAGCCCGTCAAGTTCAATGGAGAGAGGAGAAAAGAAGAGATGAGCTTCTCAACCCCACTCTGTTAGGAATCACCACTCCCCTTACCTCTCTATCCCCACTTAATTCACCTTCAAACTCCTTTGAGAACAAAGGTCAGTCAATTATTCCAATGTCCTGGTCATGTTCCTTTCTCCTCTGTTTTATTTCTCCTCAAATGATGTATTGCTTCATCCACCTCTCCTGGTATGTCCCATGGAGGACCTTACGGTCTTTAAATAAAAACATCTTGGAGGTCCCGGGCCACAGGGAGGTTGGGCTGGCCTCAACCAGAGCCAGGGCTTTTTCGGCTGTGGCTCCGATCTGGTGGAACGCTCTGTCACAAGAGACTAGGGCCGTGCGGGACTTGACATCTTTCCGCAGGGCCTGCAAGGCAGAGCTGTTCCACCAGGCCTTTGGCCAAGGCACAGTCTGACCCCCTCCTTCGATAATCCTCATAGAACTCTAGCCCAATGCTTGCCATTAATTTGGTTTTGAATTGATTTTAGAATGAATTGATTTTGGAATGCATTTCAATTAATTGATTGTGATTTTATGTAAACTGTGTTACTTTTATTATTGTTAGCCGCTCTGAGCCCGGCTTCGCCTGGGGAGGCCGGGATATAACTAAAATAATAATAATAATAATATAATAATATAATAATAATATTATTATTATTATTATTATTATTAAAGTTATGAAGTTTATTATCAGCTTCGTTTCTCTCTGGACTTTGTTATTCAAGCGACTCTGCTAACACATCACACATTAAGTTTTTGGGTGTCTTAAGTTGGCCCAGCCATTAGACAGGGTGGGCCTGCTGCCTCAGGCAACAGAAACCCTTGAGATGCCACTCCCATGGGCACCCTGCTTACACCGCCACTTCCATCAGTGGTGGAGAAGCAGTGCCAACAATGGTGCCAATTTCGGGCAAGGTCATGTCCGTTTCAGGTGAGATCTCACCTGAAGTTGGTGTGATCTCACCTGAAATCAGTGTCGATGGCACTTTTCTGTCAGTGGTGGATGAAGCAGAGTGAGTGGCAGAAGGTGGCAGTAGCGGCGGAAAGTGGTGGCAGGTGTGGTCTCAAGCAGTGAAATGGAAACACGCCGCCCCTGTTTGGTGTACACCTAAATCATCAAGTGTACACCTATATGTACACGTGTCAGCGCACAGCAGTAAACAATGTGTCAAATGAACACTCTGTGGGGAAACCTAGGCTTGTTTCCCAGCAATTAAGCAGCTCTGCTTTCGTCATTTGTCCTCCAAGCCATGATTTATCATTATCTTCTTCAAGTTTTAACTAAATCTTCAGTGCTATCTTCCTAATGTGGACTATGCATTGTTTCTGAACTTAGCAGTACCACTACAGTTCATATATTTAAATGTCCAAGGAGGAGCATTATGCCTGCCTAAAATAGTTTACTGTGGGCACAGTTTACTGTAGGCACATCAGATGTCAAAGAAATAAACAACTATCTGACTTTTAGAAGACATCTGAAGGCAAGCCCTGTTTAGGGAAGTTTTTAATGTTTGAACTTTTATTCTGTTTTTAATGCTATGTTGAAAGCCGCCCAGAGTGGCTGGGGAATGTACGTATGTATGAAGAAACAAATATAATATAAATATAAATATAAATATAAATATAAATATTATTTAGTTCCAGTAGAGAATGAAGTGGGATGCAAGGGACCTTGCTCACAACAAAAATCTTAAGTAACAAGATCTGCAAAACAGTGCAGTTTTAATAGGTCCTAATAGGCCCAAGGGTAAGTCTTTTTAGAGAGATAAGTATGTGGTTAAGTTCACTATCCAATACGCATGTCGAAAGACCAAATGCTAGAATAATGGAAGGTTAATGCTAAAGATGTATTTGTTTAATTTAAGTGTGTTTGCATCCTACTTTTCTTCCATCATGAAAGTCAAGGTATACGTGCGATTATAGGGTAATATAAATGCAAGGATTAGGAATCTAATCATATGGAGCCTAATAACTCGAGTTACAATATTATTAGACCCAAGAGTTTGTGAAATGTTGACTTTCCAGAGATAGTGCCGTGTCTCAGAATGAAGGTCTTCAAAGCCTGTTCATAACCCAGGAATGGAGCTGAAATAGTCCAGTAACCATTAGAGCTACTCAAATTTACTGAAATTATATGATTAAATTTTAAATAGGTATTTTCATACAAGCTGCTTTTTCAGCATTCTTGGTAGCGTTTAGGATCTAACTGAGCCAATTACCATCTGCAGTGTTGTTAAAATGCAATGCTTAAACACATTTTAATACAGCAGGCAGATAATTTCCTCTTTGTGTGAAGAAATAAAAAGTTTTGGATGGGACACAATTCTGACATATTGGTTACTAAACGATGATATCTTGCCAGTAGAAAGAATCTAATCTCCTTAATTGAACTGTAAGTGTTGCGGAAAAGAGGTGGCATCAAAGATGGGTATTATTCCTCTACCACCAAATGGCCATATTAATTAACTGTACCTGTACAATTTATGCAAGTTTTTTTTATATAAAAAAAGCATTAAAGGAGCTCTTATTGCTGCCATTATTTCATTGTATAAATGCTATTATTTCCATGGAATTGTCATATATACTGATAGCAATCTCAGTCAGTTCTCTCCCTATGTGGATCTCAATGTGGCAAAAGTGGTACCATCCGTGCACAAAAGGGGCATATCAGTAAGCTTGGGATAACCGAAAGGTTTTCAGAATTACAAAAAATTAAAATAAAAAAATTAGGGGGAAACACCTAAGGACCGCCATAAAACGATTTTCCACTACACTGATGGCACAGAGGGGAACTGGAAGCTGCTCTTCCAGTTTGTGCAGGGAGCTATCTGTGCATGAAATAATACACAAATCAGAACTGGGGTACTTCTTTTTCTGTGGTAGGCACCCGTCAGATTGTGCTGTTTTGGGCAGCTGTCCAGGCTGTCTATACAGAAGCTAACAAGTAAGCAATGAAAGAATAGGTGTTTGCTTTGGCAATAATTTAAAAATTACCAGCAACGAATACACACACAGGGTTGTGTTCAACATTAGCCTTACTCATATTAATGACTAATGCGGCAGCTAGACAGGTGAGTGGGAGCGGCCGCTGAGACCATATAACACCAGTCCTGAAAGACCTACATTGGCTCCCAGTATGTTTCCAAGCACAATTCAAAGTGTTGGTGCTGACATTTAAAGCCCTAAACAGCCTCTGTCCAGTATACCTGAAGGAGCGTCTCCACCCCCATTGTTCAGCCCGGACACTGAGGTCCAGCACCAAGGGCCTTCTGGCGGTTCCCTCACTGTGAGAAATGAGGTTACAGGGAACCAGGCAGAGGGCCTTCTCGGTAGTGGCGCCCGCCCTGTGGAACGCCCTCCCATCAGATGTCAAGGAAATAAACAACTACCTGACTTTTAGAAGACATCTGAAGGCAGCCCTGTTTAGGGAAGTTTTTAATGTCTGATGCTATTATTATTATTACTATTATTATTATTATTATTATTATTATTATTCTGTTGAAATTAGAAGGACATGAGCAATGTAGGTCCATTAAATTCAGTGGGTGTACTGGAGCTTAGATACAACCCTCTATCTGGAAAGTGAAAATGTGGTGAATTCAAGCTGCTGTAAAGATTGGTTTCAGCATTAAGGTTTGATATAATGCACAGTGAATTAAATATGAGACGATGCTTTCTGTCCTAATTCTTAACTTAGCCATTCTTCCATTTCAGAAAGCTCTTTGCAGTCCTCATGATTCCAGTTCAATGATCCTTTATTACCATGCTTGGGAATTTCCATTTTTTTAAAAAAAAAATCTCAACATCATAGTAACGAAAAGTAACTTCTTATTTATTTATAGGAGAGGGCTAAATTTATATATTGCTTAATGATATGCTCCATATTAATATTTTAGTATGTTTACCCTCTGGGGATTATTAAATGTTCATGTTTCTGTGCACTGGTCTCTTTTGAAGTTCAAAATAATTGAAGAGACGAATGGTAATTGTTATTTAGAGTGACTGAGACAGTGGTATAAAAAAAGGAGCTCTCTCCAAACATAACAAAATGACTACAGAACATCACCCAGGTACCCTGTGACAAATTTCAAACAATATCAAAATGATTAGAGGACTGGAAGAAGCATGGGTTCTTCATTACTCTCTAGCTGAAGTGCATATAGACGAAGAAAAGGAAAAATCTAGAGTGCTTATTATGTTTTGGCTCCTAGTGGCAACCTTATGGGAAATTTAGTACCACGGAAATCAATGGTGGAAGTGAACATAATTATGTGCAAGTGTGTGACTGCCAAGTATTGATATACATTTACCTGAGATTTCTATCTCACTAAGCAAGGTTGCATGGCATGCAAAAACTGAAAGCCAGCTTCAAAATTCTGTGCTATATGCAAAATGTATGTAGCACAATATTCAGCAATCATCTGTCATTGCATTCTTAGCAAAGAACTGAAGACGTCTTTCCAGCACTGTCTCTGGGCTCTGCTTTTATACAGTGGTACCTCTGGATAAGTACTTAATTCGTTCCAGAGGTCTGTTCTTAACCTGAAACTGTTCTTAACCTGAAGCACCACTTTAGCTAATGGGGCCTTCTGCTGCCGCTGCGCCGCCGGGGCACGATTTCTGTTTTTATCCTGAAGCAAAGTTCTTAACCTGAAGCACTATTTCTGGGTTAGCGGAGTGTGTAACATGAAACGTATGTAACCTGAGGTACCACTGTACTGACCAAAACTGCCAGCTCCACCACCTGTTCTAGTTTGTACCCCTTAACACAGAGGGCTCTCCCCAAACCCAGCCAGGTACCAACCAGATTTTTAAAAAGATGTCTCTGTACACGTTCACAGCTTAACATACGGTGAGCTCCTTTTTCTTCACTGTGTTTGAAACTGTATTTGCACCTTATTGTACACATGAGCATGGTTGGAAATGATTGTAAGTTGTCCACTATGTATCTGCATCAGTGGGTGGAGATGGGATGGTGATGGCTTTAGCCCATGAGCAGTTCTCCATTTGGGTCGAGGCCGGTTTTTGAGTGGGAAAGCATTAAAATGCAGTAGTTCACAAGAAATGACAGGATGGATGTGGATTGTGACTAATGCCACGTGTTCACAGCTTCCCTAGTCAGAGTTGGGAGCAATGGGGCTGGCCCTATGATGAAGCAGAGTGAGGCAGCTGCCTCAGGCAGCAGATGCTGAGGCGTGGGACTGGATGGAGGTGGGAGTGCTATGTGGTCTGCCCTATACTCCCTACGCTAGCCTCCTGTCCTCAACTGCAGTGGAAGACACTGTCCTTTCACCAGTATTGGAGTAAGAGTCAACTAGAAGTCCAGTTGGCTTCTGTTTGTACCTAGAGGAAGGGTGCCATTTGCCTCAGGCGGCAAAATGTCTTGAGCCAGCCCTGGGGAGCACACTGGAGTAAATGGGAGTGTGTGGACAGCGTATATAGAAAATGGGCACCGTGCAGGACCACACAAATCAGAGCAGGCACCTGTGATCATAGCCTGGTGGAACAACTTTTCCACTTTCATTTGCAATGACCAAATACCAGCTCATGTACTGACACCACAGTGAACTGTCAGGAGTTCGGCCTACACTTGAGTAGGACCCTGGCAGAGACACATGCCCGACTGGCATGTTCTCTCCCTCCTGGTCTTTCGTTCGGGAGCTTCAAAAGCTTTCTTCAGCCCGAACATCATGGCGACCGATGCATACAGACACCGGCACACTTAGGGATACACAGAGTTTGCGCATCTTGCGTGACAGACCTCAGCAACTCAGCATTTTGGCTAATCTACTTTATTTACATATAAGCACACATGGAGCACCGCAACATGGCTCCCTCTCTCTCTCTTTAGCATCAGACAGCAAAGAGAAAAAGAACAAAGGACAATAGTCCCACTTCACGGAACACAGTAACACAAACATCCTGTCTCCGTCACTTCCCACTCTGTGGAGTCAAAACATATACCATGACAAAAATCCCATGACTGCAATCATGGAGTAGGAATATTGTTCTGCTATACTCGCACTGAGTTCCTCCCCCAGGGCAGTTTTTTCCAGGGCGGGAAATGGACAGACACGAATACGGTTGGCCTAGTAGCACAGTCCTTTTTGCACCATCCAATGGGCTGATAGTCACCTTGGAGCCAGAAAAAGAGTCAGGTGAGCGCAGTGGTGGAGCTGCATGCTCTGGCACCAGGGGCGGAGAGCAAGTGGGGGCATGGCTGGTGCGCATCCCGGGGGCATGGCACACCACCCACGGGGGGGGGGGCAGCCATGATGGCACCCCATCGGGATCGTGGTGCCAGGGCCGGTGCACTCCCTTGCCCTCCTCTTCCTCTGCCAGTGAGTGAGCGTTTTTCCATCTTTGCTATTTGACTCACTATAGAACACATAATAATTTATAATAATAATAATTTATTATTTATACCCCGCCCATCTGGCTGGGTTTCCCCAGCCACTCTGGGCGGCTTCCAAAAAAACACTAAAATACAATAATATTATTTTGATATAATTACAAAAACATAAACAGAGACAGACCCATGCTATGGCTATCTCTCCCGTAACTAAGCAAACTGCTGATTCATGGATAATTTGAGGTTGTTGTTGTTGTTGCAAACAAAATTGCATGAACAGATGGAGGGGTTTTGCTAACCTAAGAAACAAAATGTATACCCGGTAGATGGTGCTGCCACTGCTATGAGGACTAATGCTGAGGCATTTGCTTGTCAGGATAAAACAAACAAACGGAGGGGTTGAGTCAGCCTAGGAGTTGGTGGGTCCTGAGCCAGCTCCACTGCCGTCACATGACTGCACTGCGTCTACTCGTGATTGGCCTTCGCCACCTCCATCTTCCTTCCTTCCTGGCTGGCGTGCTTGGCAGGGCTGCAGAAATGAAGATGGCCCCACCACTCCAGGAAGACTACTGGGCAGCAAGTGGGGTTTGGATTAAAACATTGCCAAGTTAAAAAAAAAATAGAAAGGAGGGAGGGAAGAACGGGTGATATTTTAAATACAGTTATTGTCAGTATTGAATTTGTAAACGAGATTAATTTGGGTTTTCCTTTGTAAATTTTGACATCAATAATAAAGTTTTTTTAAACTGTTTTAATGTTACAGAAGAAAGTAATGGGCTTGGCCCCAACCACCCCCATCCTTGCAATTAAGGATGTAGAATTTGGGAGTCCACTTTCACTCAGCTTTATGGTACAGAGTCCTTGGCACGATCCATCCTGGGTGTGAAGAGATCCCATTAGAGCATGGTTGGGGAACATGCAGCCCTTTGGTTGTTGTTGTGTTTCACTCCTGCGAACCCCAGCCAGAATTATGGGAGTTGGAGTCCAATAATTCCTGGACGGCCACAGGTTTCCCCATCCCTACCTTAGAGTATATCTGACCTCGATTTTTCCTACTCCCCATGCAATATGAGAACTGGGAGGACTATGTACCTGTCCTTTATTCCTGCTAAACTCTTCCCTTCTGCTTGGTCACGGAATGGAATTTCTGGCTATGATATTATCCAGCATCATACAACCAAAGGATTGTATCAAATTAAAGACGTAGGCTGAATTCAGACTATCCTACAACACCATTATTTAAGCATTCCCAAGGATGCTGTCTGTAAACCTTAAAGCACAGCGTTGTTGTTTGCTAAAATGTCAGGTCCGCAACCTTGCTCCCGAAACATTTCCTTCATAATCAAACGTTAGGACCAAGGAGATAAAAATGCTAGAATTCTCTAGCTATTTACACTTACTGAGGACTTGTTTTTTGATTTCTTGTCTTTCTCTTTGGCCCCCTTTTTGTTGTTGGTGAAATAATGCAAGGTGCCATACTCCACCAGGGCAGCAAACACAAAAATGAAACACACAGAGACAAAAAGGTCCATTGCTGTTATGTAGGAAACCTTGGGAAGGGACTTCCTTGCAATTGTACTCAGCGTGGTCATGGTCAACACAGTGGTGATGCCTGTTAAAAAATAAATATAATAACAGAAATGGTTTCACCAAGAGAACTCGCAACAATGCTTAGGCTGTAACCCTATACCCCCTTGACCTGGGAATAACCCCCCCTGTGAGTGCTGGACTAGATAGACCTTTGGTTTGATCTAGCAGGGCTCTTCTTAAGGTTCTTAGGAGCTCAGTCGGGCTTACTTCTAAGTAGACACACATAGGATTACAGTAATATCTTGGTTCTCGAATGGCTGAGTTGACAAAAAATTCAGCTCCCGAATGCCACCAACCCGGAAGTAAGTGTTCCAGTTTTCGAACATTTTTTGGAAGCTGAACATCCAACGCGGCTTCCACTTGAGTGCAGGAAGCTCTTGCAGCCAATCAGAAGCCTTACCTTGGTTTTCGAATGGTTTCAGGAATCAAACGGACTTCCGGAAGAGATTAAGTTCAAGAATCAAGGTATGACTGTATGCTGTTAGGTGTTAATATTCTAGAGATGATTAAGCTATGGAAACATTTGTGTGACGTAAATACCAAAGGCAGTAACAATTTGGTTCTATAAGGATGCAAACTCATGAAAATATAGATCCAATTCTGGTTTTGGTTACATATTTTTAGTGTTTTAACTGGATTATTTTGGTCAGGCACTTTTCAAACCTGCTGGCTGGAAAGCAGGATAGAAATAGAAGCAAGCAAGCAAATGAAAGCATTGTTACTGCAGGCATCCTTTTACACACACACACACACACACACACACACACACACACACACAATTAGACTCTGTGTACTTCTCAGAATAATCAAAGCAGTACTCATATTTACGTTTTAAGGTTACATATATCTCTTAAGACTTTTTAACCCCACTAATTTTTCTATTTTGTTCATTATAGAAAAAGTTGCTGCATAGGTTTTAGCTCATTCTTTACATTTGTTGTTTTAAGGGTATTTTAATAACAGGTTTAATCATGCTTTGCTATAGAAGGCTTTGTGGCTGAAAAACAAAATGCAGCTAAATATAGATTTCACCTTTCTTGTCTGCCTATTCCTCCATTTACCATTTTCTCAAACAGCACAAAGGACTGATGACCCTGTTCACATGGTGTTTTCTCAACAAAGCAACCTATTTAACAATTAAAATCACTATTGCGTTCAGTTATTTAATTTGGAAGTCCAAAGGGAGCTCAGATGGGGTGAAAGCAGGGGACAGAACACAGAGTTTGGTACCTAAAGGTATATAGTTGTCACCAAATGTTCCAAGATATGACTTACTCATATGGCCAGCATGGTTCCTGTTTTAAAATGAGACCAGATGGATGCCTTTGTGGGAAGTCTTTGTGTATCTTTACTAGAGCTGAGAGGGACGCGGGTGGCACTGTGGTCTAAACCACAGAGCCTAGGGCTTGCCGATCAGAAGGTCGGTGGTTCAAATCCCCGCGACAGGGTGAGCTCCCGTTGCTCGGTCCCTGCTCCTGCCAACCTAGCAGTTCGAAAGCACGTCAAAGTGCAAGTAGATAAATAGGTACCACTGTGGTGGGAAGGTAAATGGCGTTTCCGTGTGCTGCTCTGGTTCGCCAGAAGCGGCTTAGTCATGCTGGCCACATGCAGGCTCCCTTGGCTTGTAAAGCGAAATGAGCGCTGCAACCCCAGAGTTGTCCGCGACTGGACCTAACGGTCAGGGGTCCCTTTATCTTTACTAGAGCTGAGCCAAGAGTTCAGGTTCTCTTAAAAGGTGAGGAATGGGGTGGGGGTTGGAGGGGCAGACTGGAAAAGTTCTTTTCTTGTTCATGAATTTTTCTACGCCACAAAGAGAGGGCATAATTTTTAAAAAACTTTTTTTTTTAAATGCATGCCACCACATACAGGAGCGTACATGAAGATGGGGTTGCAAAGGGAATAGCTACCTAATGATGTCCTCGCAGGCACAGCATCTTTATTAATCCAGAACGAGACCCAGGAAAGGACGACTGTCAATATGCAAGGAATGTACGTCTGAATGGTAAAATACCCCATACGCCTGCTCAGAACAAAGAAAATCGTCATGACAACGTAATCCCCTGCAAGGAAAAGAAAAGAAATTCGGTCAGTTATATCCTGCAAGTGATCTCTTGTTATCTCTTCCACTCTCCCACCAAAAGAACACCTTATAATGTGGATGGGAATTTGCTGCTGGTGAAGTGCTCTCTGATCAAATATCCTCAATGTTTTATGGAAGACCAGTGGACAGGGAGCCTGTGGACCAGGAGAAGCCAAAGAAGTCGAGAACTATATGTTTGCTCTAATTGCCACAGAAGGTCAAAGTGAGCAGCTGGGAGGTGGAGGGAAACTGTAATTATTTTCTTGTTGTTCTTAGGAATGATGGGGGTTCTGTTCATTGTTTTCTGTATCATGGAAACTCAATAAAACCATAGGTTATTAAAAATAAATTACTAAATCTTTGCCTATTTGGCTTCTAACAAAGAAGGCGACAGTAACTCTCTAGTTAGTATAATATCAAACCCGCTGTGAAAGGGTGTGTACTTGGTGTACCATGAGGTGGGATCCTTCCTCCCTGTTGACCCAATAAGACACAGATGCACCCAGACTGCACGGAGGTGGGATCCTTGGTGTACCATGACGGTGGGATCCTTCCTCCCTGTTGACCCAATAAGACACAGATGCACCCAGACTGCACGGAGGTGCCTGCAGTGGGTGAGTGGGGTGTGGTGCATGGCACACTGCTCCCAGGTTCTTGCTACTTCCTCAAACACAGCAGACAGCACCATGGAGGAAGGTTGGAGACACACAATGGGAAGACTCTGGAGGGACTGCTTAGGGGCAAACACTCTGCAGTGTGGGAACTAGACACAGGTATGAGGGAAGTGCACTCTGTGATGGCCAGAGCTGCTTTGGTCTGGGGGGAAAAGACAGAGTAAGGTTCATTTTCACATTCTACTATATGAGTGAAAATAGCAGAGTCTGAAACATTACTCTGAGGTTGTTACAGGTAGGAAACACACACACACACACACACACACACACACACACACAAATCTTCCACCAAAAAATGAGTCCAGAATAAGAATGTCAGAGAATTCTGACAAATAAGGACACAGGAGTAGAAACTGCCCAAGTCTGCCTATTCATTTCACATCCAGAATGGAAATCAATCCCCTGAATACAATCAGTATTAGTTGTTGTTGTTTTCAGTCTGCAAACAATATTTCCTCCTTCGCCCTTAGCGTTTTTGTTTCCTTTACACTGCAGTGAACGAGGTGGAATAACATCACAACTCAATTTATATAATCAGTTACATCAATTGTGTAAGTTATGTGATTTCGTTGCAGCAGAGATCGAGATCAATAGTGCTGTTTTTAACAGAAGATGAGCTGTAGTGGGACAGAAACAGTGTTGCATGTGATGAAAACAGGGGGAAACAGAAAACAATGTCTACTTGCATCCATAGTCCAAAAATATCTAGTTTAAATAAATATGGTTGTTTCCTTACCGGACTGTGTATGGGAGATATCTGTTGTATTACGTAAGCCTACAAATGCAAATTGATACAATCTCCAGTATTTGGGATCTGCCACTTCCACAGAGGACTTTTTCCATTTGTATATAATTTCATTCCTCGGATATCCATCTAGAAGATAGTAGCACAACATTTGTACAAAACATCAAGCACGCTGTAGCAGTGAGGGGTGGTGTAATGCAGATACAGAATGTTTTAGCATGTTGTCTATAACTACAGAACAACTTTCAGAGAATAGTCCAGTTCCACGAATGGGTAAACGGCTTGTGGAGGTAAATAAGGAGGCTTTTCCAAGTTATTGCTAAGAGTGATGGCAACAGGAAGACAGCCTTCAATTAAGAAGTTAACCACCCTTTGCAGTAGATTTGAGTAGATTTCAGGGTCGTGTGTGTACCTTGATTCCATTATTAGAGTTGTAAATATATTCTTGGAAGTGTAACAGGCAATGCCTGCTGAAATCTCGGAAGCTGAAAGGGGCTGTTGAATATGATTTACTGAAGTTAGTAAAACCAGCATAAAGTATGCAAGTGATAAAAAAAGAAAATCAGAATTATGCATACTACAAGGAAGTATTGATTTACATGGGGGGGGCGGTGCTTGAACATGGAGTGGAGGACAGTAAGTGTGAATAAGCTGAGTCTTTGAAGGGAACGAATTCTGAAAGCACTTCCAATCTGGAGGACTAAAATAAAGGACAGCAATAAATCACAGTTTAAAGACATACGTAGTAGTTACATTTTATCCCCAATTAAGTTTAAGAACTGGAAAGAAACTGTTTAGATGAAGTGAAGGCGGTGAAGGTCCTGTGTGAGTGTCTGGAGGCGGTTGGAGGATGGATGGCGGCTAACAGATTGAGGCTGAATCCTGACAAGACAGAAGTACTGTTTTGGGGGGACAGGAAGCGGGCAGGTGTGGAGGATTCCCTGGTCCTGAATGGGGTAACTGTGCCCCTGAAGGACCAGGTGCGCAGCCTGGGAGTCATTTTGGACTCACAGCTGTCCATGGAGGCACAGGTCAAATCTGTGTCCAGGGCAGCTGTTTACCAGCTCCATCTGGTACGTAGGCTGAGACCCTATCTGCCTGCGGACTGTCTCGCCAGAGTGGTGCATGCTCTGGTTATCTCCCGCTTGGACTACTGCAATGCACTCTACATGGGGCTACCTTTGAAGGTGACTCAGAAACTACAACTAATCCAGAATGCGGCAGCTAGACTGGTGACTGGGGGCGGCCGCCGAGAACATATAACACCAGTCTTGAAAGACCTACATTGGCTTCCAGTAGGTTTCCGGGCACAATTCAAAGTGTTGGTGCTGACCTTTAAAGCCCTAAATGGCCTCGGTCCAGTATACCTGAAGGAGTGTCTCCACCCCCATCGTTCTGCCCGGACGCTGAGGTCCAGCGCCGAGGGCCTTCTGGCGGTTCCCTCATTGCGAGAAGCAAAGCTACAGGGAACCAGGCAGAGGGTCTTCTCGGTAGTGGCGCCCGCCCTGTGGAACGCCCTTCCAGCAGATGTCAAAGCGATAAACAACTACCTGACATTCAGAAGACATCTTAAGGCAGCCCTGTTCAGGGAAGTTTTTAACGTGTGATATTTTAGTGTATTTTTGGTTTCTATGGAAGCCGCCCAGAGTGGCTGGGGAGGCCCAGCCAGATGGGCGGGGTATAAATAATAATATTATTATTATTATTATTATTATTATTATTATTATAGTAGTTAGTACTTTGGTGTTTGTTTGTTTTTCATTCTGCCCATGACAGTGTTATGTCCTTGTGAGCAGATTAGTTTTATAAGCTTATTGCCATTTATAACACTGGGTATAATTCTGAAAACCACTGAAGCTACAAATTCTTGATAAATTTAGGATCAGTGGGTACAGCTATGATGGCAAAAGGGCAGAAACTCAGTGCTGGAGCAGCTGCTTCTGCATGCAGAAGGTCGCTGTTTCAATCCTTAGCATCTCCTGGAGAACCTGGAGCCATGTATAATAATCTTTATTTCTTCTGCATTAGATCCTGAACCTGACAGACTTCCTTAGCAGGGATTATGGTTCATGTGTATCAAAGCTCTGGATCTGCATAATAGGTTTCCATCCTTGTTGGTGGCCTTGAGGTGCAATGCCATTTCCCCATAGGCGAGTCGCTTCACCTAAACTGGAAAGAAGTGATACGCAATACCAAAAGTGCTCGTGAGACTTCAAACCTAAGTTGGTGCAAAGTGCGACAAAGCCCTCCGAACAGCCTGTTAATCCACGGGGCCTCTATTTAAAATGAGAAGAATTCTATGAAATGCTTTACCACCTACAGCTTGAAAACTCCAGAGGGCAGGAATGCTCATCCATGGGAAAGTTATGAAGCTGGAGATAACATTCGGCATTAATCGTCAACCTGGTTAGAAAGGGGAGAAAAGCATGAGAGAACGAACTGGAAACAATTGGGCACTTTAACTAAGATGTCAAAGTCATTTCTCTTCAGTGGCAAAACCTTCCCACCCTAAAGAGGCACTATTGTCATGTTCTGCGCAGTCCCAGAAGTCGTTTCCCAGGCTGCAACACTTTACTGCATTGGGAATGGACACAGCACACATAACTAATTGAGAGTTTCACAGATTTTAAATGGACTTACACCAGTAAACATTAGCTGTGATAGATAATAGCCTTGCTGGGTGGCTCTCTTTGCTGAAGAGCAGACAGCAGGGTTTCTGTGCTGCATGATGAGAAAGGAAGCCATCGCAAAGCAGAGAAGGTACAAGGTGTCTCCTCCCATTGGTAAGTGAGTGTCTGGGATCAGGAGCAGCAGCCAGCTATGGGATTGTCGCCTATGTCCCAGGTCTACTGCCACCACTGCACATCCTTTACCTGGAAGATATGTTGTCCTGGCTGCAAGGTGCAATGGGGGGCCTTCTCCTAAAGGATGCAGAGTTTGCAAGCCCAGCAACTGAAGGCTGTCTACACGGTATACCTTTATGTAAAGGTAAAGATAAAGCACCCCTGACCATTAGGTCCAGTTGTGGCCAACTCTGGGGTTGCGGCGCTCATCTCACTTTATTGGCCGAGGGAGCCGGCGTACAGCTGGTCATGTGGCCAGCATGACTAAGTCACTTCTGGTGAACCAAAGCAGCACACGGAAACACTGTTTACCTTCCCGCCAGAGCGGTACCTATTTATCTACTTGCACTTTGACGTGCTTTCGAACTGCTAGGTTGGCAGGAGCAGGGACCGAGCAACAGGAGCTCACTCCATCGCGGGGATTCAAACCGCTGACATTCTGATCAGCAAGTCCTAGACTCTGTGGTTTAACCCACAGCGCCACCCGCGTCCCCAGTATACCTTTATAGCACATTTGAAACACATCTCTCCCTGCTCCCCCGAGAATACAGAGTAGGGTTATCAGACGTCCCCGGTTCCCGGGGACAGTCCCAGGATTTGCAAATCTGTCCCCGGACAAATTCTGTCCCCGGAATGTCCCCAGATTCGCAAATCTGTCCCCAGGAAGCGCGGCAGTGGCAGCCTCAGCAGCCTGGAGCCAGCCTGGTAGCGCAGTTGGCTCTGGCTGTCTTCAGGAGCTGCTCACTGCCGCGACACCCGCCATTTTTCCTGTACCACAACCACCCACCTGTGACTCCTGAGCCTCCCCTGATCTGTCAAAACAAAGGGGGAAGGGGGAAGGAGATCGGGGAAGGCTCGGGAGTCACGGGCGCACGGCGCACCGTTGCCCAGTTTTTTTAAAAACTGTGCATTTATGTTTCACAGGGTGCGAAAGAAGGGCTTTGCACCTTTATACAATATGCATGTGTGTTTGGGCACAGGGTCTTTTGCCTCACCATCCCCATTACTGACTCCCTGTTGCTACTCAGCTTCAAAAAAAAAAAAAGTGTCCCCGGATTCACTGAAAAAAATCTGGTAACCATAATACAGTGGTACCTCGGGCTACATACACTTCAGGTTACACACTCCGCTAACCCAGAAATAGTGCATCAGGTTAAGAACTTTGCTTCAGGATAAGAACAGAAATCGGGCTCCGGCGGCACGGCGGCAGCAGGAGGCCCCATTAGCTAAAGTGATGCTTCAGGTTAAGAACAGTTTCAGGTTAAGAACGGACCTCCGGAACGAATTAAGTACTTAACCTGAGGTACCACTGTACAGGGTACTGTAGGCACCCTCACAGAGCTACAATTCCTAGCAACCCTTAACAAACCGCAGTGCCCAGAATTCTTTGAGGGGAAGAATGTGCCTTGAAGGTGCTTTAAAGGCCTACTGTGTGCGTAGGAGAAGTCCAAGCAGTGAATGCAGAAGGGGTTTCTTCCCCTTTTAGCAGGCGACTAAGTGTGGCCCCATTTAGCTACAGGGGGTGGGGGTCACTTTGAAGGCACACCACACGCACCCTGGCATGCACGCCCCCCGCCCTGGGCGCCAGCAGTGAGTGCTCTGCCACTGCCTTTGAGGGATCTCTCAATGGCTCCCTGGAGCCTGTTGTCTCTGCGCAGAAATGCGCCACAGACCTGTGCGAAAGTGACTCCTGCAAGTCGGTCAAACCATGCAGGTGTGCAACAGGCCCATGGCCAGAGAATTTAAAATGTGGATTGGTTGTGGGTGCCAGTCATGACCCTCTACAGGCATGTAAACAACTTGGCTCTGAGGTGCCTAGCTGGTGTTACCAATCGCAAGGTGTGATGGCCTGGGATTCGGACTCAGAGGCTGAACCTAAGGAATCCCAGCCTGCACAGGATTCCCTGCCTCCAGAACCAGCTGAGCCTGGGCTGGGGCTTGAGCCTGAAGGGTCCTCACCTGTGCTGGATGCTCAGGTGCAGGCACCAGCTGAGTCTGCTCTGGCTCCTGAGGTGATGGAGGACCCATTGCCTGCAGGTGCTCCACTCTCAGCCCCGTCAGGGGAAGAGGAGGTTGCCTCTGGGTTTGGTAACCCTCCAGCCTCTCCTGAGCTGCAGAGGCTCAGGGCAGAGAGGCGGAGGGAACTAAGTTCCTGCAGGAGGAGTGCTCGGCTCCAGGCCAGGAGAGGCGAGTCACCTGTGGATCGGGGCCACCCTATGCCTCGGGGCAGATAAAAGCCAGCCAGCCCCAGTCCCAAGTTGTGGGAGCAACGTTGTTGGTAGCCAGTTTCTGCCTAAACCCTGTCCTGCCGGATCTCCCTGCCTTGAACCCAGCTTCAGCTTTGACGGACGGCCTCAATACTGCACCCTCGACCTCGGACTGGCCTCAGACCATGCCTCACAGAAACCCACGGGACCAGTACACAAGGAAAGAATGGCGGGGACAAACAACAGGGAATGTACATGCAACAGATCAGTTCTTTTCTGGCCAGAAAGGACACTGGGGTAAACAAGCAGTGACAGACAGAGGCCCTGAGTTATTTATATTGAAGGGGGAATGGGTTACATTACTCCCTGATGGAGAGAGAATGGGCTATGGCTGAGGTGAGTGCAACCCACTCTTCTCATAGCAACTAGCTGCTAATGCATTACCATTTTAAAAACCCATTCCAACCCCTCAGGGAAGGCCTTTAAATTCAGAGTTTAAAATTGTCTGTGTGTTTGTTATTTGTAGAGGCCCAGTCAGCAACTCTCCTTATTTCTCCCTTAACTCCCAGTCTGTGTTTTGCAAAGTACACTCTTTTATACCAATGAAACATTGGAACAGGAATGTCTCTCAGTTTGGCAGCACAAGATACAGCAACTGGCTGGCCTTAGGGGAGCAAAATAAGCAAATTATCAGCCTGACAACAAAAGAAGCAGGTTTGAGAATTGCCGGCTCTCCCCTCCAGCCTTCCATGGACAGAATGCCATAGCAAAAGGGAGGGTGCCAGAGATTCTTGGGGAGCCAAACAGCCCAAAGCGTTGTCAGATCCTTTTACTGCTACTACACTTGCTCACATCTGAACTTTGCTTTGTTTTCCAGAATGCTCTCACCTTCGGCAAGTCCCCTGTGCACAAAAATGCAGTTGGAAACCATGGGGCTACGTGCTCAATTTAAGAACTCAATTTACCAGCTTGTCTGCTGACTTAATGAAAGCTGCATGTTAGGTGCAGTTTTGTCGATCAGGACTGAAAACCCTAAAACCCAGGGGTGGGGAGCCTCTGGCCCATTGCTGGACTACAAACCCCATAATTTGTGGCTATTAGCCATATTGGCCTGGGCTGAAGTCTGGTGGGAGAGCTACGGGTTCTTGTCCCTCCCTCCTGAAGGACAAGGAAGAGTGCTCCTTTTCCGTATTTGCAGCTAAAGCAGCTTCCTCCGTAGACATGATTTGGGAATTCAAAATATATTTTGGTTAAATTAATATAATTAAGTTTTGTTTGATAAGTAAGATGTGTGCAAAATTGCATGGAAATAATTAAAAATAATTGCCAAGTACTTGCAGTTGTTGTTGTTGTTATTGTTATTATTATTATTATTATTATTATTATTATTATTATTAGCGGCAGCGGAAGCGCATTACTTGACATTTTCAGAAAGCAACATTAAAATTCTTTGGTTTTCCAAAAGCAGTTTATGTGCTTCTTCATCAAAGATAGACTTTCCAAGCTGAATGTTGTCCAGTAACAGAAATAATAGCAGATTTGTAATTCCTCACCCCCCCAAAAAAGCCTTATTTTAAGACCCCTCGCTGAAGAAATTTGCAAAAATTAAGTTTCACCCCCCCCAAAAAAAATGGCACTCCCTGCTGCTGCAGTTCTTTCTGAATTCTAGGCAGGAAATTTTGCTTAGCAGTGTTGATTTTCTTCGACTGTAACCCTATGCACATGTCTTTGAAGTAATGTTTCTTGAAAAGAGCAGGACCTGCTTCTGAGTACACATGAGTAGGATTAGGCTGCAAACCCTGTAACTTTAAATTTTCCAGAGCAATATGCAAAATTACCAATTAACAGGAAACAACAGCAAAGAGAACCGAAAATTCTCAGTGGGTGGTTAACAACTCTACCTTAGGGTATATAAAACACGTCCATCACTCCAAATGCGAAGCAGGCGGTTTGGAGTTGTGATCCAATGGGCATCTGATTTTCTTGAGTTCCGGAAAAAAGTGTCTGGAATCCAAATTTTTCCAACCATATTGCTATTTAGCATAAGTACTTTCATGGTGCTGTTAAATTTCAAGCGACTGTCATACCAAGTCTGGGCAAAAATGATATCTATGGTGTACTCCTGGAAAAGGAGAGAGAGAATAATTTCAGCATAAGGTATCAAATTGGGTAGTAAAAACACTGGAATCAGTCTAGGACAGGGGTCAGCAAACTTTTTCAGCAGGTGGCTGGTCAACTGTCCCTCAGACCTTGTGGGGGGTGGGGCTGGACTATATTTTGAAAAAATATATATTAAAGAATTCCTGTGCCCCAAAAATAACCCAGAGATGCATTTTAAGTAAAAGAAAACATTCTACTCATGTTATGTTTTTACATAATATGCTGATTCCCAGACTGTTTGCGGGCCGGATTTAGAAGGCGATTGGGCCGGATCCAGCCCCCGGACCTTAGTTTGCCTACCCATGGTCTAGGTTCAGATCCTATGGATAGTATCCAACTAAAGTGTCCTACATATAAGCAGGGCTTTCTTTCAGCCAGAACTCACTGGAACTCAGTTCTGGCACCTCTCAAGTAGGCACCATTGTGCATTTTAGGATAAATTCACACTAAACTGCTGACAAATCTCAATGAGGTCATTTTAAAAAAAAGCAACCATGAATTGCTGTGGAAATGTGGAGAAAATATTTTCAAGATGGGGGAAATGAGAAACTGAAATTGGTAAGATTCCTCTATCCCTACTTCTGAGCAAAGACACATAGGGTTTGGTTTTTCTGGTTTTCACCCCTCTATGCCATTTGAAGCACAGGAGGGAGATAGCAGGCTAAGGACCGCAATACCTCAAGGACCGCCTCTTTCCGTACGAACCTACCCAGACCCTGAGTTCTTCTTCTGAGGCCCTTCTTTGTCTGCCTCCTCATCGAGAGGTCCAGAGGGTGGCAGCATGAGAACGGGGCCTTCTCTGCAGTGGCTCCCCGCCTGTGGCATGCTCTCCCCAGGGAAGTTTGCCTGATGCCTTCATTACACACCTTTAGGTGCCAGGCAAAAATGTTCCTTTTAACCAGGCCTTGGGCTGACCTGATCAACATCCCATATCCTTTTAAAATGTGGTTCTTTTGGGGGGGCGTGTATTACTGGGCTTTTGTTTTTGTTTTTATTTTAATTTTATATAGTAGGATCTTTTTATGTGAACTGCCCTGAGACCTCTGGGTATAGGGCAGTATATAAATTCACTAACTAACTACCGTATTTTTCGCTCTATAAGACGCACCAGACCACAAGACGCACCTAGTTTTTGGAGGAGGAAAACAAGAAAAAAAATATTCTGAATCTCAGAAGCCAGAACAGCAAGAGGCATTGCTGTGCAGTGAAAGCAGCAATCCCTCTTGCTGTTCTGGCTTCTGTGATAGCTGCGCAGCCTGCATTCGCTCCATAAGACGCACACACATTTCCCCTTACTTTTTAGGAGGGAAAAAGTGAGTCTTATAGAGCAAAAAATACGGTAACTAACTAAATAAATAAATAATAGCAGGAGCATGCTCACTGCCACCTTCCATCACATTCCCGTTGCTTGGACCCATCATCCTTCTCACACATCTGAGGGGTTATGTCTGCAGAAGGGAGCCTGTGTGTGGTTTAGAACCTCGGATGATCAGCTTCCATGAGCAGAGAAGGCTATGGAGTTATTTACATGCAATTCCATGTCTGGCTCCTTCATCCCAGGCCAAGGCATGAACTTCGAGCAGTGAGGCTTCGCTACCACACATGCAGTACAATATGAGATAAACAGGAAATAAAATGTAAGGCCCAATGACCTCCTGTAATCATCTGCAACAAACTCTTAAGAAGGAGCTGCAGTCAATCAGAGCTCCTTGGTTGTGTACCCATATGAAGCACGTTTGCAAATATAAGTATATTTAATTTACACTTTGCACATTCAGGGGTACACCTTAAAGATTGTTGCTGTACACCTAAAATCTGCAAGGTGTGAAGAGGCCCTGAGATTGCTGGAGTCAGCAGCAAACATTGAGCTGCCTGTATACCACAAACGTAGGATTTCACCCTCTGAATTTAGTTCTAATTAGGTAATCTGGTTTCTACATGAGGAAACTGAGCTAAGTAGCACACACTGTGGAGCCTCTCTAATCACAGTTGCCAACATTTTTTATTTTTTTTAGTGAAAGCGGCTGGGTGCCAAACTCTTGAAAATCAGCTTCATTCAATTACAGATCTCGCTTCTAACTTTAGGCATCTAATTCCAGTAACCCTGCCTGCATTCTATGTCTGTAAACTGATGAATTCCTGTGGTGTGACATGGTCACATTGTTCCTCTTTCAAGAAGTTGGATTAATATTTTTAATACAGTGGGAGCAGATCAAAGGAGGAACATCAGTCATTTAGATTTCACTGAGAAGTCTGCTTTGACTGCCAAATCACCTTTATTTTTGCGTTCCAATTCCTGAGACTTTCACGCGACTTTTTCCATTGTTCTGCAGCCTTTTTCAATATAATTATTACTTCCGTGGCCCGTATCTTAGCCCAGTTCCTGAGCTTTGATTCAAATAAATTTTCTATGTGCCTGACAATGGATAGAACTGCCTTTGCTGAAGTTCCTCCTATGAGTAATGAAATGTCAGCAGGAAAGCCCCAAAGTAGTCAGAAGCACAAAACCAGTTAGCAAAAAACTGAAAGGGGGAACCCCGAAAAAAGCCCAGCAATGGCTATGTACACTCAGTGGCCACAGAATGCCAACCAATGGTTGTGTATGCTACAAAGCCAGTGATGAGGGGGAAAGGATAGAAGTATCATGGAGAAAGGCATGCACCACTTGGGTTTCTGGCTTAGCTTCATGACAATTGAAGTTGAAATGAAAGGCAAGACACTTGAATAATAAGAAATAGCAAAATGCCACACTGGCAGGAAAGGTGGTATATTTCAATGGCTCCTTGGATTGCAGCGTGCTTTTCTGTGAGTCTAAAGACACACAGTAAACACAACACCTCTGAGTGTACACTACTTCCCATGACTGAATGTCAGTCAATTGTATAAAATAATTTAATAACTGGCTTTTACATGTTCGTCAGGGCAATTCACAAATATGTGTTGATAAGGGTAAGTTTCCTAATACAGTGGTACCTCAGGTTACATGCGCTTCAGGTTACATACGCTTCAGGTTACATACTCCGCTAACCCAGAAATAGTGCTTCAAGTTAAGAACTTTGCTTCAGGTTGAGAACAGAAATCGGGCTCCGGCGGTGCGGCGGCAGCAGGAGGCCCCTTTAGCTAAAGTGATGCTTCAGGTTAAGAACAGTTTCAGGTTAAGTACGGACCTCCGGAATGAATTAAGTACTTAACCCGAGGTACCACTGTAGTATAAGAAGGATGCCTGCATGAGCCTAACATGAAGAAAGGCTGCTTCTTTAGAAAACTGTAGGGTTGTTTACTACAAATGATATCCTTTTAAAAAAAATATAATACCCACCTGTTCACTACATCTCTCACACTGCATTCCTAATTTTCACATGGGGAATTTTCTTTTTAAAAGGCACATCAGTCACCTTTACATTTGGATGATACCTATCAAGCAACCTGATCATAGCAAACTTCTCCATTGATGACTCCTGTCCTACAAGGCTTGGGTGATGTGGCACAAACTTCAAGAGCTGAAGAAGAAGATCACTCCAATGTAGTAGGGGTGCTAGTTAATTTGACCTTTACAAATTCTGATATGAAACAACCTGATCTGCATCGCCTGCCTGAATGAGAACTTAGCACAGGGTCAGACTTTGCACCCTATGCGAAGCCAAAATTTGGTGCCCCCCTCCTCTTGCCTTCCATTCTTCTCAATTCACGACATCAAAGTCTTTATGCCCTGCATAGAACTAATTGTGCTGCCCTAAATCGCCCTCTGCTTAGCTGTTCATTGGCTTTTCCACTTCCTGAATGTTCAAATGCAAAGTATGTCAAAAATGCATTTAACAATGTGCAAAATGTGTGTGTTGGGATGTTATGTACTGAGCTTGGATGCTAGAACAATAGGTAGCTAGGATCCTAGAATGCAACAACCTGAATGGCCTGCAGGAGCAGACCAATCAGGCCCCAGGAGGAAGTTAATCAGCCTATCAGGTCGGTAGGATTCTGGAATGCAACAACCTGATTGGCCTGCAGGAGCAGACCAACCAGGCTCCAGAAGAGAAGCAGAGTCAGCCAATCACATGGGACCCTTTGTGTAAATAATGTATATAAAGCCTGAGGTGTTTTTTTTGGGGGGGGGAATCAATCACTGTTCCTATGAGCTGAAATAAAGAGCATGAAATCACTACTCGACTCTGAGTATATTTCATGGGAGCAAATGCATTTCTTTAAATATGTATTCTAAAGCAGAAGAGGAATGGGAACGATGTGAGCGAATGACATATGAAAGTGACACAGATGAGAAATCAGTCCATCAGATGAAATGGGTTGGAACATACTATGTGCACCTGCAAGAGCCATCATTCCATGCAGTAGAGGTTTACAAAGCCGTTAGCACATAAATGGGCAGAGAGTGTTCACGTTTTCTAGTTTGCCTCTCTTTCCCTGCGGTTTGGCAGCTACCATCTAACATCCGACCCAAACATCTGCACCAATGCTCTGTGTGCCATACCATAATTGCAGGTGTGGGTACTGATTCATCAGACTTTGGGCAGAAATTCTTACTCGTATAACATTCTCTTTTGATTTCATATCCAGGCACTGTTTTTCATCTCCCACATAAACTGTAATAAGACATCCAGACAACCTCATTCTATTTATTCTTCTCCCAACAGCATTCAGATCCATCACATTAAAAAGACTGCCATGCTTATCAGTAGGAGGGAAATTACTCCTCCTGACCAAGGCATGCATTTCCTCCCAATATCTTTCTCTATTCCTTAATGGAGCATTAGACTTTACAAATTGGCCACTTCATCTTGCAGAGCCTCTACTGGTCAGTAATTGAGTTTCTATTAATTTTAATCTCATGACAAAGGTAACGTATTCATCTGAATAAATTGCTGTGCTGCCCAGAATAAGCAAACATTGTATCATCTTATGATGTTTACTCTGATAAATGCCACCATGCCCTTTATACAATACAAATAA